GGAAAATATGTTAAGAAGCAGCATCTGTTTTGTTTGCAGAACTGCGAGAAATAGTCCTAAATGTTTGATTGCAGAACTGAATTACAAAACTTCATGGATTACTACTTTCTGTTGATATGATCCCATGATTACTACGAAATTCTTAAGCTTGCCTGACTCAAGTTTTTATTTGGAACCTGAAAATCTTTGAGGTTTGTTGAACCTTTGTGACCCTTAGATGACTTTCAGCTCTAGATTTCCCTCCACCAGCAAGCAGGTCTTCATAGACTACTTTCCTTCTTTTCAGTTAGCTTCTGGAAGTTATGGGTTAGTAGCCTTTTCTTGAGGGTTGTCGGCTGGTCAGTGGCTGATTCATTCCCCTTCCTAAATTCACAATAGGTATCCTTCTGTCCTATTGTTTCATCCTGGTTCCTAGGTAACTAATAAATACAGTTCTACCATCACAAATATCTGCTTCTGTTTAAAAGGGATGTGGTTAACCTCCAGAGCTTTCTGCCTTCACTTGACTAGGACTAAGCAAGAAACATGGGGATGTATCTGGGTATGAGAAATTCAGTAACCTCAGTAGGAACATATCATACCTGATTTGTGGAGATTAGATCTGCATGACAAACTCCTTCACTGAACTAGGTTGCTGTTTGGCTGGTAGTCAGACACCACAGAGTGAACACAATGTTGGTACATGATAGAACAGAACACACAAATATCAGAGAAATAGTGAAACAACCTTTTCCTCCCTCCTCCGTTCCCCAACAAGGCAAAAGGGAGAAGAGAGAAAGGCCAGAAGTTAGCTTCCTTACCCCTAGAAGATGATTTCAGGTAAGGTATGTAAGAGGGAGGCTGTATCAGCTAGGGCAGAAACACTTACAGGAAAGAGCATCAGGGTAAGCTTTGTTAATTGAGTCACCTGACAGAGGATTCTAGTGTACATTCTGGTTTTAACATTTCAGATGAACCCAAGTATATTGCTAAGGAAGTTCACTTTAAATGAGTAAGAACCAAACCTGGCAAAACTTGCATAAGATACCGAGTCAAAAGGTGCTACTTTTCATTTGTATTCTATGGCTTTTACTGTAGTTATTTTTTCCTTTGCTTGTGATTTTTCCATTTTAGAGTTCTGCTCAGTCCTTTCCAAGAAGAACCGCAGGCACCTCTGGTTTGCAGGGTACACTTAATGTTATTTTTTTCTAGTAAATTAGACCAACTCACAAGTAAAGAAAAAATAGGCTGTATGAACTTGAACATAACAGTTGTTTAAATAAACAAACAAAAGATCATATCTATACTTGGCACAGGCAGAGTAAAATGACTTATTCTTGCACAAATATATATTCACCAGTGTGCAGGTCCAGCTGAAGCACCTGTTGAAGCATGTCTGGCAAGGGTTCAGCTGGCCAGTGTAGGGCCACATTAGCCAGGGGAGAAGCAGGTAGGCAGGGTCCCCAGTGAGGAGGGGTGGAACCACCACTGCGCCCAGCTGGATATCTGGCACCCCCAGTGCGAAGTGCCTGCTTTCCACTAGGGCTGGCAGGGTGGAGTTGTGGAAGATACCAGCATCATGGGCGCTGCCTGCCCAGCTGGTGCTCACATTGGTTAAGGTGCCACAGTGGTCGACAACAGCCTGGAGCCACAAAATGAAAGCTCTGCCGGCTGTAGTAGGGGCTGTCACTGTGGGGTGGGTAGATGACAAGGATGTGAGTCCTGTCTAGGGCCCCTATGTACTGAGGGAAGCCTAGGGCACATGCTACTCAAATTGCCAATTGCTCAAATTACAAGCAAGACTCTGAAAAGGGGGTAAGGCAGAATGCTGCATTTATTGATTACATGAGTTAGAGAGGTTTGGACACACCATTTACACAAACACACACAAATCATCATACACATCATTACACACAGGCATACACATACACAAAACAACCATTCTATCCCCACATACACCAGATATAGTTACCAGCAATAGTTGCTCAGTATTAGCCCAGGGTGGCTAACCCGGGCTTATTGAGTAGATGATGATGATTTAAAGCTAGCAGATTTGAAGATAACAGCTCGAGCAGGGTGAACAGATGCATCTGTGCTCCGATGAAACAGCAGTAGAGAAAGAGATTCACCTAATTTGGCATTTTCAAAGTGTTCTTTTATAGGGATTGGCATCCTTTGTTTCAGTGCTTTGGGGTTTTGCCATACCTAGTTTCTGTTTTTGTGGTTGTTCTTTTGTCTTCAGTGTATCTTAGCCTTGGAGTGTTCTTCCTGCCTGTCTGGCAGGATGGGTGCATTCCTTCTCCTCGTTATCTTCTTTGTGCCCTAGGCCTCAAAGGGATTCTTCAGCTATTCATTAATTAGTTTACTGACTGGTAACTTACATTTGGCGCCTTGTTGCTTACATAAACAGTTAAATTGTCTTCTCCCGTCTCTGTGCCATTCTCTCACCATTCACCCTTTTACACACACTCATACATAAAGGCTATGCAGAATTCATTCACTTATGTCAAGCAGAAGGATACAAAATGGAGTTTTCAAGTTGCTTACAGGACAAGACAAACATGGTTATATTTTACTATTATTACACTCTATGTCAACATCAGCTACATTAGTTCAGTTCATGCTACACACAGAACTCCATCACTACAACCGGGGCTCATTCACCTGGAGCATGGTGTGCCATCCAAGACAGCCTTCCCAGTGGTCGCCTTGCCCATGCCAACGAGGTGGTCGACATAGGAAAGGGTGGTGGTCATAGTGAGCTTGAGCAGGGTGATGGCCAGATGGATGTCCATGGGGAGGGGCTGCTGCATGGCCGTGACCTAACAGTTTAGGTGCAGGCAGAGCTGCTTGAGGAACTCCTGGAAAGTGGCCCAGATCATTTGGAATGACTCCAGCCACTGCTTCTCATACCAGGTGTGCTGAACAACATGCAGCTACCAGTCCTGGCTGGCCAGATGGGCCCACAGGCAGCGGGACTGGACTGGAGACCCAGGACAATGTCGACAGTACTGGTGGTGGTGCCCAGATGCATGTCATCAGTGTCTCTGCTGGGGACCAGGTGGCAGCAGCATGGTGCCAGGAACCCTGGGATGTGGCAGTGAACCTAGGCAGGTAGCCGCACCATGCGAGGAGGCCGCCAGAGCCAAGACTGACCAGGGCCAGGTGATGGTCACCACGGTGGCACAGAACAGTGAGCAGGGTAGCCAGCATGAGCCTGGGACTTTGGACATCAATCCTGGAGCCTGGGGGTGGAGCAGCCATCATGAGGTGGGCACAGGCTCCAGCAACAGAGTTGCAGAAGGCTGTGCCAGCATGCTGCAGGCTACTCCAGGAAGGCAGGTGGCCAGGGAGCAGTGCACAAGGCTGGCTTTTAAAAATGGACCCTGACTGTAGGCAGCTGTGGCCAGAGCCTTCAGCTCTTGCTGGCTGCTGCAGGGGGCTGGCAGAGCCAGAGCGGGCAGGAACAGACTATGTCAGGAGCAACAAATATGCTCCCAAATGCCTGCATGTGTAGATGCCTACCCAGGGGGATTTACTGTGGAGTAAATTACAGCACAGTAAACCCATGCAGCAGCATTTGCAAGAGTAGACGTGCCCACTGTAAAGTAAAAAGGCAAAATAGGTTTATTACATAAGACAGAAAAACATGGGGAAAAGATTGTTAGGTTTAGAGACAACACACAGAAATAAACCAGAAATACCTTACTGTTGTCTTCTAACTTGGAGCAAATTCTAGGTGCTGCCTTTGTTTCTAACAGCTAGCATCTGGGGTGTTCCCTGCAGCCTTCCCCTGGCTGGGTCTCCTGCTTTAGAATAAGGCTACATACCAGCATTATGTTTCTATTGGGAAATCAAAGCTCTCCTGGCAGAAACCACAAGTGTACAAATGCTCGCAGAGTTTCTCCTGGAATAAGAATGATGGTTCCAGAAGAAAAATAACCTATCTCCAACCAGATAAAAGTTCCTCCCAGGATATTTTCTCCTGGGAGAATGAATGCTGATAAACTTCCCTGCATCTTGACTCCTAGGACCAGGAGGAGCAGAGCCAATGAGGAAAGAATCCCTTGCCTTTTAGAAACTGAAGCAACCACAGTCTGAAAAAGTTGCCAGGGGCAGCTGTTCCCACTCTCCTACCTGGGAGGGGAGCGGAGGTATTGCCACCTACTCCTTCCTGACAGCTCCTCACATTGGGGTCCCTGGTGTAAGAAGTGGCTGGGGGCTTTGCCCTTCTGCTTAGTTTACTCAGACGCAGTTACAGACTGAACACCTGTAGTGCTCCCTCTCCTGGCCTAAGATTTGGGTAACTCCCTTTCCCTCCAAGTGCTCCACTTAAAACTCCTGGCTTCTATATCCCTAAATCTTTGTTCCATTCAGTGCCCAGAACCATTCCATATCTTCTCTGGTAATCTCTTCAGATATTTTCCCAGGCACGTGCCATGGACACACAGAGTCCCCTTTGATATGGACTCAGCTTCTCTTAGTGCAAAGCCCTTAATCTTGAAGTCTAACACCAGAGCTGAACATGAACAAATGGATCTTTTGTTCATTAGGTTCCCCTGGGTTACCAAAACACAAATTTTATACTGAATACTGTGTTTCATACAAACATATAAATGAGGGGTGTCACAGGCTGGATTTAGCTATGGAGGTGGGTTCTCTGGCCTGTGTGGCTTCTTGTTGGCTGGAAGCCCCACCTCTATGGAGTAGATTCAGCCTGCAGGGCTTGTCACCACAGTTGTCAGAGGTTCTGTGTCTGTGCAGCTCCAGAGCCAAGCGGCTAATGTGGCTACCACTCCCCACCCCTGCCTTACCCACCTCTGAATTTGGGGTTTTTAGTCACTGTTGGTGAGTAAAATCAGTGGCAGGAGAAAGTGGGAGTGGCCATGTTAACCCCCATAACAGCTGCCCCATACAGTAGTTCCTGTAGCTATGGGGATTAACTGTGCTGCTGCCAGCATTCATAGGTGATCCAGTTTATGAGAAGCCCCAAGACTTCAACACTTCTAATATAAATGATTTTTAAAAATCAAGCTCATTATTAGCTATTGATAGAGACCAAATATGATAGTAGTTAGCTCAATTTAGGGGCATAATTGTAAAATGACCTAATGCAGATTTAGGTACCCTATTTAAAATCCTCAACTAGAATCTGTTACTGAATGCTTATATTTAGAAAAGAAGAACTGCCATCAATTGCTTTTTGTAATAATGCTTGCAAAATATCTGTGGTGAGGCAGAGTCCTCTTCACACAGGAAGACTGAACTTACTTGGTGAATTTAGTCAACCTACTTAGTAGCACAAATGAAGACAGAGTGAAACATAAGAAGCTTGACAAATAAGTGAGTATTCTCACCTTTTTCCATTTATTTATGTGCCTTATTGATTGGAAACAGAATAAATAATGAAAAATAGCATTAATGTCAATATAAGAGATACAGCCTTGTAGGAACAACTTGAGTAGAAAAGAGGGAAACAAGATGAGGACTGAGATTAGTTAGGAATATGGTAGAAAGAGATGCTGCCAAAAAAAAACCACAGGCAAACAGCAAACCTTGCTAAAAACTGACACATTTTATTTAAAAAAAAAACCCAAACCTCTGGATTTTCTTTTTGAAACTGCTTCAGAGAGACAATGGTTTGAAAATACCTTCTTCTCAGAATGCAAGCATGTTTGATAAAATAATCCCTCCTAGCTAATCTAGTCAATTCAAATCCAAGCTCCTTATTGCACCATGAAGTCACTCATCACCAAGTGAATTTATCTTAGAATGGTTCATTTAAACTGAGAAAAGTAATTAGCTGTGTTAGTCTGAAGTCAGAAAGAAGACAGGATAGATTTGCATGTATAACTATTTAAATCAGAGGTAATCTGATGAAGTGAGCTCAGGCTCACTAAAGCTCTACTTAAACACCCCTGATTAAGTTGGTCTATATGCATATCTACACTGCCTTCTTCATTTAAATTGGTCGAGTTGTTGGTTTATAAAGTTACTGCCTGCCTAACGCACTAAACTGCAAAAAGTCCTCCTAGATCAACCGTCTCTTTCTTTTTACCTGTGAGGGGTCACTGGGGCATGACTTGTTTATGACACCTGTCATCGCTTGTCTGACTCAAGGGATTTCACTTTTACTGTACTTCATGAGCCTACCTTGCAAATCCTATGGTTGTCAGTGGGAGATTTACAGGAGTAAAGTCTGAAACAGTTTTCTTTCACATTTCATCACCCAGTAAAAACCTATGGAAAAATTGCTGTGAGGCTTGCAACCTAGATATTTTCCATAAAATACCCAAAGCTCTATCACATCAATATTTGCTTTCAAATAAACCTTGCGTTGAGACCCACCTCTCTTACAGTGATAATATTAGAAAGACAGTGACCAGGGCCTTAGCTAAGGCATCTTAGCTGTCACTCATTTTGTGACTACAGAAAAATAATAGAGCAATTCTTCTGTAGCAAAGAACTCAGAAAGACTACAACAGGTCAGAACGTTTTTGACACTATGGACCCCTATTTGAAATCTCTGGATTTATTGTGTGAATTGTGTAGATGCCGGCAGACTTAACAGTGCTAATATTGTGCAGCACCCCACAAAAACCCTTAAAAGGATCTTACAGCACCAGGCATCCTCCTTGAAAATCACTAAATATCTGCCTCATATGCAGATGAGTTGAGTTCTCTTGCCTCCTAAGCCCAGACTTACTTGTGACCTTGTGTAAGTAGCTTCACTCCTGTCTTACTTTCTCTTCCTCATCATGGTAGTAAGAGGCTTAATTTCTTATTGTTTGCTGAAAGCTTTCATAGCCTTCTACTGAAGATGCTCTAAGAAATGCCAAGGATTCTATCTTGGGTTTTGCTGCATATGTTGAAAACATGTAAGACATTCTGTGTCTGATGAATTCTTGTACTTTTGGTTGCATATGGCATCTTGCTACATGTGGAATGAATTGATATTTCATGTTCCATTTTCCAGATGAGAAAATGGGAACTTTTGTTTATGTTGTTTTAAATTTAAATGTACATTGTTGCAAAAGCTAGTTCTGCTTTTGATGGGGAATAGAAACATTTAGGTACAATGAAATCTACAGAGACCTATGCCAAGCTTTTTTCACATAGAACGAAAGTCCACAACCCATTTTTTCCCCCTGCAGGATCCAGAAACAACTAGGTTATTTTTCTAAGAACTGATGTGGTTTGTCCTCAAGGGATTGCTGGGCTAAACGCTTGTGCATAAGGGAAAAAAGGACAGGTGTGTCCAGGGGGTGATTTAACTTTATAAAAGGACAATACGATTCAGATTACATCCTGGAACGGGGAAGATTTGCCTTAAGGGTTGTTTTATATCTTGAGAATATGAGTGTACAGAGATATTATTTCACTCCCTTTTGAACAGATACCATGCACTCAATAATTTGCCTCACACTTTCTCCTTTTCCTCGATATTCCAAATAGCAATAAGAAAAGGGTAAACCCCTACTTTGTCCCCAGGTTTGGGTGGTTGGAGGGGGTCCATCTGCAGAGCCTTCTGTGTCATTCCTTCTGTCACTGTATCACTCCCTTACAGTGGTGTAACAAGAGCTGGCACCCGTGGCAAATCCTGCAGGAGAACAGGAGGTTGGTGCATGGCTCTAAGGGTGCGGGCACATTTCTGAGAGCAGGGAGGGCAGGGGACACATGGGTTTGGGGGCGCATGGCTTCTGAGAGTAGGGGGATGGAGGAACATGGGTGTCGGTGCAGCAGCCGTACCTATGTCAGGACTCCTGCACAGTCCTGGCTGAGTTGCTGCTGCTATCTCATGTGCTCTGGCTACTCTGGCTGTTGCTTTTAAAGCAGCAGCAGCTGGGAACTGTTTTGGAGCTCCTGGCATCTCAACACTCCTGAAGCACAGGCTCCACAGGGGTGGTCAGTAGAGTTTAAATCAAAGAACTCTGCTACCCTATTAAAGAGCTTTTGGTTTTACTGGCCTATACTTCTGTATTTGGACCCTGGAAATGGAAGGAAAACTTTGTGATTTGTTTTAGTTCTGAGAGACAGTCTCATTGCTGACAAAGGGACCCCATCCTCTGATGCTGCCTTGTAACCTTTATTCTGACTAACTTTGGTAAGTAAACCTCCTTTAAGAGTTTGAAGCAACTGAGCGTCAAACACACCATGTTGATTGACCAATGAGCGGTGATGACTACTGCTACTGTTATGATTCAGTGCTGCACATCTGACACCTTCTTGCTTGAGATATCCTTAACTGTTCAACTTGGGAAATGCCTGCTGGTTCTACCAGCACTCAGACACTTCTACAGCTAAAGATGATAACCACAAATGATAGGTACAAGAGGTTCAAAGTCTTGTCTCAAAGTAGATCAAGTATCCAACCACAGAAATCTAAAAAATATTGTTCAAACCTGTGTGCTTCTCATTGTAGCTTAGGAGTATGCTGAAGTAAGCAGAGCCTTGTTATGCCTTGCATGGCAGCATAACTGCTTCTATCTTGGCCTGAAGTAATGAAAGTGGGGAAGAACTTCAAGGTATCACCCAGGAAAACTTTCAGCAGGGGCTTCTCCACTCCATCCATTGCAGTCAATGGTGATTGTCTCCATACACTAATACAGACCAGAAAAGACTCTGTAGAAGTTTTGCTGAAATCTCCTATGTGTGTGGTCAATGTTAGATGGCTTAACATACTTGCTTCCACTCTTAAGGTCTGCAGAAAGAATTGCCCTCTCTGCCTTTAATCATGGGTCCTAAAGACTCTAGAGCTGTGAAGACCCTCAGATGCCCCACGGAGATTTCCACTCCGGCATGAAAGATATGCTGGGGACAGGACTAGTTTTGGAGGGGACCTATCAGAGAATGGCTGTAACATGTGACTCTATGGCCATACACATCATCAGGAAGTCTTCTATAACTTAAAATAGTTTGCTTGACTGCCTAACTTACACTGTGGTCCATCTGGGTCCTCAAACAGTTCAAAATCCCAGCGGCATAAATATAGCTTAATGTCATCCCTGTCCCCCAAGCCTGCTGGGACTGTGGGCCTGAATGTCTTGACCTTCCTGGAGGCGTAGTACAGTACATGAGTCCACACCTGGATAGGGAATCTATAGGACTTATTCAGTGTTGTAATAGAAGACGAAAGAAAAATGTGCATGGAGTATATCACTATAATTGTTACAAAGTGCACATGCAGGCTAAGGTAGGAGGAGGGATGATGTTATCAAGGGTAAGAGTTAATGACAACTTCCCTTCCCCAAGATCTCAGCATAAACCATCAATCTCTCACATTCAGCAGAGTTGTTAACATAGCTGGGCACCAGGGACATGATACACTGCCAATCATAGCCTTTTTCCCCCACCTCCTCCCTCAAGTCGGCAACCAGGCTGGTTGCCCTGCCCTAAGTACACCACTGCTCACATTTGCACAGGCAGGTCAGAGACTACAAAAAATACCAATCAGAATTACACTGTACATGTGGAGTGTGTGTGTCAGGGTGGGAAAAACTGAAACCATGACATTGTTCACTATGAGCTTCAGCCACAAACAATACCGAACTAGACAACACCTTGCAGACTTTGTAGTTGGAGAGTGTAGACAGAGGAGAGGGAGCAAAAAAAAAAGAGAAATAGCTGTTCCCAGAATCAGAATTAACTGTACATAAGGCTATGGGACTTGACTAAAAGGGTCTGGGTTTTTTTTAATGATTTCAAAGAAAGCAGCCATTTCCCTTACAAACAAAGCCAGGTTCTTTTCATCCTTGGATTTCTGAGGATCAAAAAGCAGACTCCTCTTCAATGTCCAGCTTAACTAGCAAAAGAAACTCATCTTCTCTGAGTTGAAATTTAAGAAGAAATGATAGTTAAGACTTAAATTCAGAGAATATCAACTGTGATTTCCTATGTAGTTTTTCTTGCTTCTCAGACTCTCTTGATTAAGCATAGTTAAATACATAAAGGGAGTGAATTTCCTGGAAGCATTGCAGAAAAGATATTTCTCATTTGTGCTACCTGTAAAAATATATGTCTGTATTTTTAACATACAGATTTGCTGAAAGAACCTTGCTACTGTAGCTCTGCGTTTGCTAAGACTTCCTTTGCATAACTTATGCTCTAAATTGACTCCATAAAGAATGACATGACGGGGAAAAGGATTTGCAGGTTTTCACAATTGTGCTTGGTCTTTAAACACAAAATAGGCTGAAGGATGGACCTTATCATTCCCCTAAATAGGGTCTTGAAACAGTGACTGCAAGAAGGTCACTCACTCAGCTCCTTCATCAAGGCTAGTGTGCTCTGATTTCAGGTTTCCAGTCAGTTTGTTTTACCTCAGACAACTTTATCCCCACAGGAAACAACAATAAGTAGATGTGCAAATGACAAACCAAATCAAAACTTGTGGCCTTTCTTCAGACCTGGGGAGGAAAGTGTGGGACGACAAGCAGAGGGAGCACAACTCAGACCCTCTACTTCTCACACAGCCACCTCCCTGCTCTCCCCTTTGACTTTGTTCCCAGAGCTCAAATCTCTCTGTAGCTTCACTTTTACTTACTGGCCATCAGTTATATCTGGCCCCCAGGCTTCCAGCCAGGCAGACTCTTACCTGTTGACTACCTGCAACTGGGTCTCAGCCCTCTGCAGGCTGAGCACTTCCTTACAGTGACATTTTCCAGCCAGATTTAGGGCTTCTGGGTATTTTCCTGCTTCTGCTGGCAAATGTTCTGTCAACAGAGGGCAGCTGCCATTGCTTACCACCCAGATTTGTACACCATCACACTTCTAGTGGCTCCACATGTTTCCAGTGCCGCAGCTGGCCCACCAGACCATAAAGTACAACCTGAGAAGAAATGGTTGCTAAAGCAACCACAGCAGAAGACACAGAAATGTTGAAAGGCATTTTCTGCTAGCTGCCAGATAGCAGGGCATTAGGGGGTGGTTAATGTTGTCCTACCATCAATTTGAATGCTAAGTGGCAATCAAAAATTGGAAATTCTGTAGCAGGCAGGAGGCACAGCAGCTCCATCAGTCACAGCAAGAAATCTGGAGGATTGAATCTAGAAGTGAGTTGTCTGACCAGAGAGAAGTCCTGCAAGCCAGGTTACCCACATCTGGAGACCAGACCCAGTAGACTGGATGTTTGATAGTCTTACCAATGTGGGACATAGGACTTCCCTGCATAGGTTCCTGCCTCAAGTCCAATATTTCTGCTTGTATTAGAGTACCTGCATGTTTACATAGATATGGTATTAAAGTGCAAAGAAATCAAGTGACTTGTCCTATGGCAAGTCTGTGACTGTGTCAGGTACTGAACACAGATCTCCTGAGACCCAGCCAGCGCTTTAACAAAAAGATCATGTGTCCTCCCACAAGTTTACATTGTGAAATTTAGCATCTGAGAAAAATTTCCAGAAAATTTGCATTTGTCTTGACAACAATACAATCTACTCAAATTATATTTGTTTGTAGTTACCAAATCCTTCACTTAAGTTCCTCATTTGATTGACTAAAGAACTTATCTGTTCCCCCTTATGTTCTTTTGGGCCATATAATATATAGAAGTCTCTGCATTTTACCAAGGACTGTATTTATATATAAAAACATTTCCTCATTTTTTCCAGAAATGAAAGTATATACATATAACCAGAAAGGTAGACCTTACATAGTTCAATAGCTAAAAGGTCTAGCGCATATGCACAGACTATAACAGAAATGCCTTGGGTACAAAGGACTCTCAAAACATATACCAACTAGTTATTTCAGTCATATGATGCTCAAAGATTCATTTGAACATTGTATTTCTTTCAGCAGTCCTCAGACTGAAACTGAGGAGAGGAACACCAATATTCCACAACCTCGCTTTTTATTGCTGTTGGTTAGAAAAATAAACAGAGGTGAAGGAGTACTTACTCTCAAATAAAAGCCAATATGTTGATGCATTCCTGTATTTGGGAGTGTATCACCTTTTTTTTTTCTATTCCAAACACTCCTTGAAAAGAAACCATCTGAAAACCACTAATGGTGTATAACAGCTCAGACACAGGACATAGTAAGTGCAGTTGAGGGGGTCACTTGAAATTCATCTGTCTAGCAAACTCAGGCATAAGGTACCCTTAAAACCCATCTTATTAACTAATCTAGTCATAGGGGACTCTCAAACTCACTCAACAGCAAGCTCAGGCTTGGAGACCCTGGAAACTCACCTCAACAGTGTGCTTAGGAACTTTATGGCTAGGTGAAGGTTGATGGTCAGGGTCAGCCTTCAGGTTCTCCCCAAGTCAAATAAGACTTAAAGGATTGATTAGGCTTGTATACAGAACAATCCTCAATTCTGTAAGATACTTGTACATGATTGTATAGCAACATAGAAGAAGAAGCAGCCAAGAAGTCTCCTGAAATGAAATGTACATTCAGAATGAAAGCACCATAACCAGGGTTCTTCTGGTTATGTGTTATATACAGAGCTGGTGCTGATGATGACACAGATGTCCTATAGTATCCTAACAGGTTGCTTAAAAAACACATTTCACAGGTGATCACTGCTTGTGTATGCAGCTTTTTACTTCAGCTGGCAGCTCCTCTATGGAGCTGTCGCCATGAGAATATATCTGGCGTGGTTCATGGATGCTCCAGACACCTGCCCCTTTTGTGAGCAGAGGGAGACTCTGGCGCACACCTACCTGGATTGTGCCAGGCTGCAGCCCCTGCACTGCCTCCTTCAGAACCTCTTGCCAAGGTTCTGGCTGCATTATTCCTCTCACCTCTTCATTTATGCACTCCCTATCCATGACCCCACCAAGTCCTGGGACCTCCTGGTCAACCTCCTCCTGGCCCTAGCCAAGCTGGCTATGTATCTGACCAGGAAGGAGGCTCTGGCCGGGAGGGTCTCTGGGAACTGTGGGGCCACTTTCTTTGCCCTTATTCATTCCCGTGTCCAAGCAAAGTATCACTGGGCAGTATCTACTGGCTCCTTGGACTCATCTGAAGGCCAGTGGGCACTATCCGGTGTGCTCTGCTCAGTTTCCCCCCTTGGCACTCTTGTTATGAACTTTAGACTTCCACTCCAGTCCCTGTTTTCATTATTATTTGTTCAAAGTACTCACTTCTCCTGTAGCCTCCCCAACTGAGGGAGGCCATTAAGTTACTTGGTGGCCCTAGGCCCATGCCCCTTAAGGTGACAAATAGGCCTGGCAAATTGCATAGGACCACATATTAAATGAAAAGAACAAAGTATTGAATATCTATTTAGCACAGTATATGGTGCATCTGTACTCTGATGTGTGTAAAGTATATACATTATAGTATATACAGTATATCTGGCACAAGACCATGAATATAAAGACTGTACCATACTGCATATGCAGAAGTGGACTGAATTAAGGTTGCACAAGCAGCATTTTCTAAAGTAGTTTCTCCCTAGAGCAGTGCTGGTTCTCAAGAATGGTACTGCCCCATTTTCACTATTATTCACTCCTTTAGTCACTTTTCAGGGATTTCCCAGCCTACCTTAGGACCAATGAGCTCTGAATTCTGTAACGTTTGAAATCCTGCTTAGGGGTTAGATGAGTAGATAATGCCACCTTTATTCTGTCACACCCTAACTTTTGAATGCTTAACTTTCAATCTTTATCACCAAGGGCTTTCCATACTCTTTCTCCTCCTATGCAGCGGAGATGACAATTGTCAAACCCAAAACATGTATGCTATTGCAAGTATACTACAGTAAATCAAAACATTACAAGGATGTGTGTTCCCTTTGCTCAGCCATGCAGAGACAGCAAAAAGACTTAATACTTGTCATTTGTTTTCTGTAAACACTTGTTTGTTTTTTTGCAAGAACATTTGCAGAACTTGTGTACATGTGTGCATACAAGAGCTCGCACTGGAAAAAGCTTTCTCTGTTATTCATAAACATTGCAGTTATCCAGTTAAGCAGGGGCATTTAGGCCATAGGTGACCAATTACAAAGCACAAATAATGACATGCATAATAAACTTTCAAAGCTATAATCATAATACATCATTATGCAGAAATCTGGAGTTTGAAACATTTCATTTTGGTGTAATTATTTTGTTGAACAGCTTTGAATACCTAATATCTGTGCAATTAGCAAAACCTGAGATAGTCTGCAAACAACTCAGTTACTAATAGCTCTGGTGATTACTGATGGAATTTCTTGAGTGTATTTTAACAACACTTGCCACAGATAGTACCTTAATCTGCAGCACACAAGGGTGTTTGGGGCAATGTGACTTGTAGCTGTATGAGAGGGTTGTTCATATACAGGTTTTAGACAAGCAGTTGCATGGGTGGTTTGGATAGACAAGATCCTGCCTTGAGCTAGGGGTTGTATTAGCTAACCTCCTGAGGTCTCTTCCAGCCCTACTTTTCTGTGATTCTACGATATTAAATCATTGACTCCAATCAAACTTCCAGCAGTTGTTTCAGATATTAGGAAAATGCCACATTAGAGTTTAAGCAGTGTTAAGAAAAGTAACAAAATCTTGAATCAAGTGGATCATTTAACCAAAGTTAACTTCTGATGAAACTACAAAATTAGAAAAAATTACAATCAATCAAAATTACAGATATAGTCAAAAGGGGGCACTGAAGATATCTTTTTATCACAAAATATTTATAATATGCTGTAATACGTGTGGAATAACTAGATGCCAGTCAGGGAAATGTTAATATATCAGTTTTTATAGTTGCAGGTTTTTTTTCTTGCAGATTATTTGTTGAATAACATGTTGACAATTTGTTGGAAGGTGCTGCAAGCATTTGATCTGCATTGCAAGAGACTAGAAATTTGCCATTTCATCCTACTACCTTTCTCTCAGTGCAGTCTTGTGTAAATTCTCTGATTAACTCTCCTGGTTAATAGGTAAGTCAGCCATTTGCTGAGCTAAAAGATTATCAAAGAACAACAAAAACAATTAAAAAAATAACAACCCTGCGTCTTATTTATGATGCGGTCACGTGATATTGCTCTGAATGAGGTCTCTTTGCATAACCAGAGCAAATTAAAGTGGCCTGAATGTAAATGATAAGAGGCTGAAAGATTAAAAGAAATAACTTTGTTAAATGGAGTATAGACCTGAATCTCATTCACACAGAAGACCTGAATTTTATTTGCACTGCTCTGTGAGCATAATGTGTCCCTAGAGTGGTTGTGAATTCCATTTACATTCACAATAAGGCCAACTTATGTTGCCAAAGTGGTACAAAAAGGCCTTAGGGAAAATAAAAATCAGAGCAGCTTCATTTTCTTTTGAATCAAAATAAACGAAGTTCGTTGACCTGAGAAACAACATTAGAACTAGGCAAATAATTTGCAACAAAAAGTTTTATTTTATAATGTTTACCTGTTGAATGTTTTTTGAATTCTGAAATATTCTAAAGCAATAGCTCACCAAGATTCACCCCGGCATGGTTCATTGCTATGGTGAGGGCTAGTAACATCTCAAAGTGGTTAGAAGGCTTAACAAACATTTCTCAGCTGGGTACCTTGTTTTTTTCTGCCTTCTCTTTTTTTTGTCTCGTTCTGATAAACCACTGCCTAGTTTGCCACCTCTAAACAAGCCACCCCTTATATTCATTAGTCATCAAAGCTTTCACTTGTGTCACTTGTGTTTACTAAAGATGAAGGACACTTATCCTAAATGGTATATTTAGAAGCTCACACGGATTGAACATTTGGCAAATTAACTTTCCAAATTGTTTATTGATGTGGCCTGTGGCATTCATTTACGTTTTATGTCAGCAGTTTTATACTGTTTCCTAAGATGAAATTCTGCATGCACAGATGAAATTCTGCATGCACAGAGATATTTGCATATCAAATGATTATACAAAACACTGTGTTTCACTTCTTTTACTGTGATACTATCTCATTTCCTATAAATGACCATTCATTATTTCTTTCTCAGACCACTGCAAAATGAGCACCTCGGAACCAAGTTTGACAACAAAATTTTATTATGAAGATTTCCCTACCCCATTCGTAAACAGTTCTGCGAAAAATTTTGGGACTTGGTTTTTGCCACCACTTTATTCTCTGGTGCTGATTTTTGGCCTTGCAGGCAATGCATTAGTTGTTCTGATCCTGATAAAATTCAAGAGACTGAAAAGCATGACTGATATCTATTTGCTAAATTTGGCCATCTCTGATTTGCTTTTTGTATTTTCTCTACCATTCTGGGCATACCAGGCAGCACATAGATGGATATTTGGAGATGCAATGTGCAAAATTCTTTCATGGATCTATTCCTTTGGCTTCTACAGTGGAATCTTTTTCATAATACTTTTGACAATAGATAGATACCTAGCAATTGTCCATGCAGTGTTTGCTTTGAAAGCTCGCACAGTTGTCTATGGCATCCTTGCAAGTGTAGTTGTTTGGATTGTTTCTGCACTAGTCGCTCTTCCAGGGATGACATTTTATGGTACTGGAAATAATAATGTGGGCTGTAGCCTTAACCTTCCAAGTGATAAACTGAAGGAGTGGAAGCAATTCATGACTTTACTGATGAACACCGTCGGACTTTTCATTCCTTTGATCGTTATGATCTTCTGCTACACTGCAATTATAAAGACACTACTGAAATGTAGGAATGAAAAAAAAAACAAAGCAGTTAGGCTTATTTTTGTCATAGTGATTGTTTATTTTCTCTTCTGGACACCATTCAATATTACTCTTCTTGTGAAGACTTTTTCAGGTTCCCTCGATAATGCTAAGGCAAGCACTCAGATTGATATTGCAATTCAAGTAACAGAAACAGTTGCCATGATCCACTGTTGTATCAACCCCGTGATCTATGCCTTTGTTGGTGAAAAGTTTAGAAAATATCTTTCTACCTATTTCCGAAAACACATTGCAGTCCACCTTTGTAAACAATGTCCATCTCTTTACCGTGATAAGTTAGAACGAGTTAGTTCCACATTTACACCATCCACTGCAGAGCATGACATTTCCACTGGTTTGTAAAATACAGTAGGACGTGTCATTAGTCAGTTTCAATCTTTTTCACCTAAAAGATTTTAGAACTAATCAAAACTTTTGAGATCATCACCTTCAAGGACCTACAGTCACAAATAGGTAATTTTTTCTGTGGCATTGCAGTATTTCCCATTCTCGGTATAGGTAAAGAACAAGTCTCACAGGAAAGGTAAATAGTTTAGTACCCCCCCTCATTAGTACCCAATGTAGAGACAAGTTCTAGCCAATGTCATGTGATTTCCTTATGAAGTATGACTGAGAAGGTGGTT